CTTGTTTGCCCAATTCCGGTGATATTATGATCACTCGTTATTAAAGAGTATTTGTATCGCTGTACTAAATTTGATAGTAAAATGCAGCTATTCGCAAGACCACGACTTGTCTCCATGTATAACCAATTGAAGTGACAATGGGGAGCACTTGAGTGGATAATAAACAGTGAAGCGTTATTCGCCCCATCACAATAATGATATTTGCAACAGAGTGACTCTCAAAGGTGCTTCTCCGCCGAGAGACTGGGAGCCATCGTAGTAGTTCATAAACCATAATATTCTTACTACGACATAGGTGTACACACACGGACATGATGCAGATCAAGGTGGGCACGATTAGCCACGGCGACACGAGACACAACATGACAAATCCGCATAACAAGTACAAAACAAGAACATACCGGCGAAAGTACAAAGGATGTGCACATTTGTGGAGAAAGTGGCACTTTACTTTATGTCCCCACTTACTTAGTGCACTTAGCATAAGGATAAGCCCCACCAAAGAGGGTGTCAACCCGCAGTAACCGCAGACATATGTGCATAGTCTCCTACATGGGAGCAAATTTGTATAAAATAATCGCACTATTCGCAACCCCACTACTTTCCTGAGACAGCCAGCGTTGTTCGCCACATGATGAATCTCTCCGTGAGGAACGTGTTTTACATTTTTGGTTTGTTTGGCTTTTGAAATTGTGTGCCACACACGTCGCACACAATTTGAGTCAGGACGAGAGGAGCTAAACTATATATGAAGACGATGGGACATAAATTATCAAAGGTAATCAACATTCAAAGATTTATTGTGCGCCCTGCCCAACAAGATTGCGGCGATTGTAATAAGTTGACAAAAGATATCATCGCCACCACCTCCAGCGTCAACAGCCCAACGTGGACGGAGGCATCCTTGCTTGTATTGTTTTATTGAGCAAAATGGGACAAAGTAAGAGTTTGTTGCTTGACACAAAGAGAGGACAATCGCGTCATTGTTCCATTGTCAACTGCGCCTTTAATTGTCTCAACTTCTCCTTCCTCCATTATCGCGGCTGCCCATTATCTTACATACTCATCCCTCGTTATTACTGCCGCTCCTGCTGCTCCTCAACCACCAACAACACGACGAGGACGACCAACAACACAATGTACACAACAGCTCGGGAGAGAAAGTTCCTGGAATTGCATTCACTCCTGGTTGACAGACCCAACTGCTGTGTGTGTACATGTGCGCATAGGATAATTCCTGGTCCACACAGGACGAGGAAAATTACATCATAAAACGGATAACACACATGCAACGGGGGAAAGCACCATGATGCATGCACATTCACGATGATGTAATATTCTGTACGTATGTAAAAGCAGAAATCCGAAAATTGCAATTAGGCAGAGTTTCGTCCCACTAGGAATGGAGCCTAGTCAGCGAGTGGGGTATGGATTGAATGGAAGGCGAGGGGGTGGAGGAGGGAGCTCATTAAGTCGAGAGCACCATGTTCCTTGTTGAGCGGATGCATTATATTTGCTCTACGACTGCACACAATCCCACGGCCCATTGTCCCCTGTACTCATTTATCTACCTCCTCCTATTATTCACATTCCGCGTACTCCAATGAATGTTGCAGACTCGTGAAATCAAAGAAAGTTAGTATCCCTCAATTGGAGGAGGGAGCCAAATTGACATAATCCATCCACAATGTGCACCTCCCAATCTTGGGCAAAAAGCACAGAATTTCAGCCTGTCTGTGTGTATCATAAATTGAACGACTCGAAAGTCACTCTCCCGCCTTGGACAGATCGAGTGCATATGCAGCGCAAGATAAATATAAAGTTAATTGAGGGTGAGGTTGGATCACAATTTCCTGATTATTTCCAAACTAAATCAGAATCTTGTTCTTCTTCTTGGGCGAGAAACGTCCCTCGAGCTCAAAAAGATTACATTACGAGTTAAGTGAGCTCAGAATGAGTTGGACCAAATTCGTGGAATTATGCAGCCTCGCAGAATGTACACACTGCTCTCTGAGAGACTTGCTTACTTTCTCCCTGACTTTCTCCGCTCTAAATATTTTTTGGGACAATAACGACATGTTTAATCTGGGACACATTATGCACCATGCACACACACGCCGCACATAAGCGGACTAATCTCCCCAAGCAAAAAACGTCATCTTGGGTGTGACCCTCTTCATGGGTTAAAACACATCGCGTACGTAAACGAGGTCTTTTTTGTTGGGAAAGTTTTTTAAATAGGAAAACTTTGGTCATTCCATCATCATCATGACCATCACGAAACGTTCTTATCACGAGAAAATAATAAACGGCCGCTGCCTCACGTTGTAACAACATCAACAAGTCGGGCATCTTGCGTCCCACGAATAAATACGACTCCCCCAACCAACCAGCCAACTATCTATTACTTCCTGGACGGGCAAGTCCAATAACAGTATTTCCACTTTTATTTGCATGTGTATGAAATCCTCATCCATTTGAGACGACGAAAAAGTTAATGAATGGGCAAATAAATTACACGGGACATTTGGGATTCAGATTCGTGAGTAAATGGTCATAGTTTTCTGGGAGAGGAAATTGGCTGCATGCCGCGCCTCTGTCTCTTTTAATTTACAATTTTACATCACAAGCGCATTCTCCTCGCTTATCTCCGCTTCAGCACGGACGGAAATTATTGCATTTTTCAACTTTTAATTCCCTTTTCTCATTCTATTTTCTCACCAAAATATGCACGAGTCCATTGACTTCTCGCGTACGGAACAAATTTCACGAAAAGATGAGAAATTATTATCGAAATTCCATCAATTTTTTTGAGCAAGGAAGTACCTCGAGCTTCCGGACGTGATTCAATATCCGTAATTTATGACACGATGCAGAGCGGAGAACTGTTTCATAAACAAGTCCGGAGATCCGCTTGACTTTCACTCTGAAAATATTATTACCTGGCACAAGCCAAGTAGCAAGTCTGACAGCCCAGATTTTTGAACCCGCTCCTCTCCGACTTTATTATGATCATTATTGCGATGGCATACAAGTCGTGTTCGCCTCTTATGCAAAACTCGGCCGGAACTTGAAGTCTGTCTGCATTGTTAAATAAGCTTATTTATTTATGGGGCCATACTCCAGCAGGTCACCCAGCTATGCAGGCATCCACTGGTAGGAGGAACAGCCTCCCCCTGTCTCTCGACTCTATTAGAAAAGTAAACGATGATAATTTGGTCCTACCTTTTAAGAAAATAGACAACAAGGTGTTGTTGTTGCTGCGAATGAGCGAGGCTGAGGAGGGGAGTGGAGTGGAGTATTAAATAAAAAGAGTCGACTAAAAGCCAAGCAGCAACCTTTTCTCTTTTCTCCATATTCCTCGCCATGCCCATCAGCAGCAACATAATAGAATATCGCTTCTCCCATGAAGCAAAATGTGAGCTGTTTATCATTCACGGCCGCCGGAGCATCCACGACAAGACAAACAACACAACACGTTTGATACTCGATGGTGGAGAAGGTTTAAAAAGCAGTGAAAGCGATGGCTTGTTCGCTCCCGTCGAAAAGTAGATTGAGTTTTGCGAGGTATTTCATATTCTTGGAAGGAATTTATCATCCCATCGCAAAGTATCGGGAAATCCGTATCAGAGAAAGTGCAAGTGAAAGGTAGTTGCATTATGAATGCTATCTCAGCCTGTAATCTGCTTTGGCTAAAGAGGGGCTCCAGCCATAAAGTCCTCTCCACGTTCTCCCCTCTGGACCAGGAGTGGTGGCTGAGAGTCATATTCTCCCTCATGTTCACGTGCATGCTCTCCTTTGTTGGCCGCCCGGCAAGGATGCGTTTAAGCCCTCTCAACCTAAATCAACTTCAAACTCTATCCACGAGTCAATTTTTTCCCCTTCTGCCACTTTAAGGGGATCCATGTTACCCAAATATTATGCTAGTGGCACAAGATAAGCCACATTTTTCCGTCATCCTCCATCCACCCACCCACCCACGTAACCCACCATCCAATACGTAAGCTGCTTTACTGTCTCTGGGATAATAATATGAATCAACGATACGACGATCGTCTCTGCCAGGACCACACCACTCGCACAAGTGCACGAGCCACGAATACGGCACGATTAATGAACACACAACTGGGGAAGAAAATGGAAAGTGAAAGCCATTTTTAGAACTATTGTTGTTGTTCTCTGTGGCGGTGGTTGCTGGGTTCTTCTATTCCCTCCGGCGAGGAGAGATAGGAAACGGACCCTTGAGTGAGTAATGGGGTGGAGAAGTGGCATGTTTGACTGGGACACTTTGTCAACGTCCACTCCCATCCTGGACACCAGGGTCAACTGGGAGCAGCTCAAAACTTCGCACTGTGACAAATGAACTCCCGCTCCAATCTCGGCTCAAAAATTGTCTTGGATGCGAAGAATGAATAAGTAGCCAAAAGTGAAAAATAGCTCGAGCGCGCATCCATCCACGGAGGGAAAGAGGGCGACGGCTCTGGAGGGAAAGACAATGAATAAACCCATCCGTCCGAATGCACATATGACTTTCTCCCCGTCTGAGAAAAGTGGCTCTCGCTTTGTTTGTTTGCATATGGCGCAAGGGTTCCGCGGAGCAGGAGAAGGAGAGCAAGCAATGTTTATGGAGGAAGGTTAACGAAGGGGAATGAATGCCATGTTTGCAGGATGTTGTTGTTTATTTGCCTCTCGGTTAGTTATGGAGAGCTCGTTAGTAATTTAGACCGTTTCTCCTCCTTCGTTCGTTACTCGTGGTGGTTTGGTTGGTCAGACTTTGTCTTAATTCACTCGTAGGAGACTGGATACCAACGGAATTAATCTCATCATCAACTCGGCAACCTCAACCCACACAAGACAACCATGGGCAACTGTCAGCACAACAAATGAGCAGGTTTCGCAATGATTCTATTACAACGTGGTAATTGGTAACAATAAACTCATGCCCTTGGTCGTGTCCTTCGCCAATCTGTATTTATTTAGCCAATAAGTTTTGCACTTACCATCGACAAGCGAGCTGAATGAATTTCTGGGCTGAACTGTGAAGGGGAAGCGTCAGAGAAAGAGAGTTTAGTAAAATTAAGAGGAAAATTAAGTAGAACATACTTGACACGTATTAGTTGTGAAGTGTTACATATGTATCACTTACATTTAAAGTAGAGGAGAGCACCCGAGAAGGAGAGGAAGAGAGTAAGCAGGAAAAGTATGAGAAGGAGGAGCAGGGGCAGTTTGGAGTACGGGATGATGCAGCCACCCCCACCTTCCTCCTCGCAACAGAGCGTCCCCCCGTCCCCACCACCATTTGTCGTCGCACAGTTGGCATTGTTACTGTTGGGCCCACCATTGCTGCGACCATTTGTCCCGTTCACAGACTGGTTTCCGGCGTTGAGGTGATTGTTGCCCCCGTTGGACACGACGACCACCGGAGAGCCTGCATCCTCCCCAAACTTCTCCTGGAGTTGACGCACGATGGCCTCTTGGCAGGGATTGACGCGGACCACACTGTTGGCGCCACCGGGCGCATTGCCGCTGCTGAAGTAAGCCTGTCCCCCGTTGGAGTAGGTGGAGTAGTTGCTTCCTGGGTGGTGGGGATGGTGGTGCTGTTGCTGGTGGTGAATGTTGTTGACATTCTGTTGCTGGATGTGGAGGGGACTGTTGAAGCCCAGGTCGGGCGAGAAGAGTCGCTGGTGTTGGTGGGTGTCATAGTCGGGCGGAGGGGGTGGGAGTTGCGGGCTGTACGCAGGGTACTCCCACTCTGGCTCGGTCTGGGCGTATGGGTGCTGGTGGATCTGGGGGTTTCTCGACAACGTGCCTCCAGTGTAGTGGTTGGTGACGATTTGTGGTTGCTGAGGATGCTGCTGGGCGACGGCTGTTGGGAGGTAGGGATAGTCGTTGCCGTAAGGCTCCATCCCTGTGGGGAGGGTCGTCTCACTTCGCACCTAGGGCACGTCGTCACATGATGACATTTCTTCTGGCCTGATTGTCACTGTGTTTCGAGAGGAGGTTGCATCAAAGATATTGTGATCACGACGGAACGACGCGTATGTCAATTAACCAAAAGTGAGCCCAACTCGGGTCGTGTTATAGTTCCTCCGGATCCTTCAGAATTAGAAGAGCGAGAAAAAAGAGAAAGCATAAGTTTTATTGGCCAGTTTTAGAGTTCAGATTTAAGCATAAGATCACAGTGACAAGCTTAAGATTCATTTTAAAAGCTATTTTTCGCAGCTGCCACAAATCTGGTGGAATTAAATTTTCTTAAATGCAATGAGGTTCTCCCACTACCACAACCCACCAAAACGGGTTCATATTTAGAACGTGATGATGCTGGGACAAATTAAATAAAGAGGAAGGGAAAAGGTTGTCCCCTTTCCTCGCCGCCGTGATTGTCGTTTGCCCCGAACTAAATGCATTATTCAGTGAATTATGAATCTGGTCGAGTCCTCGTCGTCGTCATGAAGAAGACGTGGGAATTGGGGAAGAAAGTGCCAATCATGATACCCATCCGCATAGCACCACTCCCGTCCTAATGCATATTTATACGGACCAGGACGAGCCATTGGGTCGGAGGGTGCAAATAGCACAATGCACCGTTCCTCCGCATTGGGAGAGCGTTGTAAAGTTCGACAGTGGTGGTTGGAAGGGCCCATCAGCTCCTTTGGGGAATGAGATTTGAATCCAAATCCGGCGGAATGGCAAAATAAAATAAAATTTCACCCTCCTCCTCAGGAAAGACAAGCAGAGAAAGAAGAAGAAGAAGGACTGCTACATTCCTCTAATAATGTGAAAATCCTGGAATGTGAACTTCTCAGAGATTTCCCCGGAATATTAACCTTCTGCCCGGAGAAAGCATCTCATCTCTTTCCCAATCTCTCTCTCTCTCTCTCTGCCAACCATCTCATCACCCCGGAAGAAGAAGAAGAAGCTGCTGGTGGTATACGTAATACAGCTCATGGTCGTCGTGGTGGGTGATAAGATAAGGCTGGAACTGCTCTGAAACAGCAAGTACCCCAATTACACATACCCTCAGTATGGCTACAGACCTATATTTCTGCCTGATCCCACGACCAATAACATAACATTACCCTGGCACACAACCAGTCCACTTTTCCATCCGTTGCTTATTCTACGTGGGCAGAAGTAGTAGATTCTTCTTCCCTACATGCATGGCTACAAATTCCTCTGCTCCGTGTAGAACAGGGGAGCGAATGGGGAGTAATGGGAGGAGAACTGCTCTGGCAAATGTGTATCGTATTGCAGTTAAAATGGCTGATAATGGGGATGCAAAAGACAGAAAGAATCCTCAACTGGATGGAAAGATATTCAAATGGATGAGAACTAAGCTGGGAAATTGGCCTTTTAGACTGACTGACTGACTCTCTCTCTCTCTGTCGGAAAAAAGCTGAGGAGAGGAAAGAACAAATTCCAGGACTGGAATACTAATCAGTTTACAGTCACAATTTCAACCAGAGATTCCATCCAAACACAAATCCCATGGAGAGAGAGAGATATACTCAAATAAGCTAAGGACGCAGACTTGACATGCTTTTTTCCCATCATCCCAAACAGTGAGATGAAAACTCAAAATGACAAAAAAGTTTAAATCCGCCGACCAAGAGAAAGTCAGTTGTTGTCTTCGTGGTTGGCTTGGGGAAGAACAAGGCATTTATGGGAGGTTGACGTCCCCTCCGTCCGTTTAAGGACGTCTTTACCGTTATGAGTGGATGGGCCAGATGCACCCTCCTCCAAAGGAGACAAGGTAGATATGCAGAATGAGGAGCGGTAGGCAAGCTGTCATTACTCATCAGGATGAGGGAGGGAGGGAGTGAGTGAGGTATTACAATTAGCGGTGATTTTCGAGAGCGACGAAGCAGGAATTTAACACGTCTGCTAAAGACTTGACTCCGCTCCCTTCGTTTTTCTTTCGACTTTGGTGTAATCATCTGCCGACATCGGAGACAGTTGCGGGGCCACCGCAACCGCAGATACGACCACTTTGCAAGTCGCACACGATTAATTATTCATTCCGGACAGAAAGAAAAATTCAGCGTGTTCACTAATTGCGCTCGCTTCCGAATACACAATCAGGAAATGAGAGACAATTCCTGGTCGTCGTATTTTTCGTGTAGATCCAGTATGTAGATCAGCGCATAGAGTTCTCTCACACACATTCCTCACGAACGCACCACGACGCGAGACCTAAACGCCCAAAATAAATGGTTTCCTACGGCTTTAACCAGGCCGCTAATCGGACCGAGTTTAATAAGCGGAGGAGGAATTTGGAGTGACAAAAAGTAGCGAAAGTATAAAAATGTTTGAGGAATGAATTCCTTTCCCGCAAAAGTTGAGCGGAGAAAGCCGCTGTCGACTTTCTTTTTCTTTTTGGGCGGTTGGTGCAACGTTCGGGAGGACGGAGCAAGTTTCTCAGTAAATCAGTTAACGTCATTTTTTGTAACAAAGTATTCGGGAAATTGATGGTCTAATTCCACTCTCAACTCCACCGGGATTGTGGGCGCAGAGAGTTTGGCTGGTCTTAGTTGCTACCTTCTCCCACCAACGACGCATCTCTCTCCCCACCGACGACTTATATACTTTCTCCTCGAGGAAGACACAAAACTCGAACAATGTTCAATAATATTCACAAAGTAGTCCAATTACAAATCTGTGTCGTCGCCCGTCTCCTTCCCGTCTCCGCAGGTAGGCGAGGAAGGAAAACATGGGAATAAGTAATCGATTCGCATGGAAGCACCACTTGAGAATTGACAAACTCCGGACTTTGACTCGCGGGAGGAGGGGGACGACTAATAAGGAACTAATTTAAGTTTTCTAGCATTGTGTTCCCATTTGCATACGCACCGAGAGAGAAATTCCTCCTCCTCCTGCCTCCACTCGGACTTTGGAGAAAGTTATTCCAATTTCTAATTGTGAGCAGATTTAGAGCGACTCGAAGAAATCTCATCTCCTTCAGAAAGCTCACTTTTGGGAGAAACTTGACTCTGGTGGAATATGCGACGGGTGAGTCCACACCGAGTCACGAAGGATGCACGGTTATGACCAAGTTATGGAATGCGTGGTGTGAAACCACGTGCATGGATGCAGCTCGAAGCACTCTGCTCGCAATTATCGCCCTCACCACCAGCACCAGGCCGAGAGTGAGGCTGATTGTTGTGAATTCTCGAGCTGTTGAGAAATGCAGCCCCAAATTAGTGGTGACAGTGGGAGAAATTAATCATCTCTCATTTGTACCTCAAAATTAATTCCGATCCACCACTCCCATTAATTCCTATTAAGCACCACCAGCAATATCTGCCTCTCTCTCTCTCTGACCCTGCCTCCCCTGTTCTCACCACCAGGAGCGTTTGCCTCTCTTCTTAACCCTGCACAGTGCGATTCCTGCGGGTGACGGGTCGCTTCTTCTTCTTGCGAGGAAGTCGTAGCTGCATGATTTATGAGACCGACTGGACAACAGATGATTAAATTTCTTGTGCATTTCACTCCTTGCACTTGGAAAATATCCAGTTGTAAAGTCACCTTTTTGACACAAAACCCATGTCGTGAACGTTGTCGTGAGCGGGGAGAAAGTTGTGTGACATGACAGAGCTACAATAATCAGTGGTGTCGTGTTTGTGACCCAACTTTTCCTCTTTGGCAGAGGGACGACTTCTCAGAGATGAAAGTATACGTAAGCTCTTTTGTGCTGGCGTCATTCACGTGTGTGTGCACCTGCTACTTCCTCAGAGTCGAGACACACGGGATTAGGCAGCCATGGTTCACACACACCTCCTTCATTCCCGACTTGACAATTCTTTTTATTTCGTTCCTTTCGAACAATGTCTCCGCTGGAGAAGCTGTGTCCCGCACTCGCTTAGTTTTTCTCTCTCTCTCTTACGCAGCTCTAATAATTTGTTGACTTTCCTCATCTCAGAACGAACAAAGGGATCGAGTACACTTGGGTCTAAGCCTCAAATGCGGATGAAAGGAACAAATCCTTATAATTATATCGTCGACTTGAGCTTAGGTACATATCCGCTTCTCAGGTGAGTGCGTAATGATATGCACATAATGAGGGAGCACGTGAACCTGCTGCGTCTCCCTCCAGGGGGCACACAACATGTCACAATAATAATGACGAACTTCCAGATCGTCAAGAAGACGCCGAGGTGCGTGTGGACTCCCCCAAATTTGCTCTGCAGAGCCCAAAGAGCGACTGAGAGTGCGATAACAATGACGAGTCATCTGATGGCTGCTGTAGGAGTGCAAATTCACAATGTTGCTAATTATCAAAGGGTCCCACCGTGACTCCTTTGTCCTTTGTCACACTAATGGTGATGATGCTAATGAACATTATTGCTCGCTCCCCGTACGTCGCACGGCCCTTCGGCTACGAAACTACAATGGTACAAAGGATGCCAAATCAAATGGAGAATGTGGCCGGAAATTTCAATTGTGCGTGGCCCCATTTGATGCAAGTAATCGCATATTTGTTGGATATTCGCAAATTGCTATCAATTTAATGTTTGCATGCATGTCTGCCTATCAGGACGACAAGTGATGCTTCTGCTCTGCTGGAAGGAGGGAGCCGCATATTGTTATGATTTATGTTTCTCCGTCGGAATAAAAATGTGGGTTGTTAGCACGAGGTGATGAATACAAATTAATCCATGTTTGTCAAACTCAGAGAGGAGGGAGTCTGAGGCACTTGGTTCTGGCAGGTGGTGGTGGTGGTGGTGCCGTGGTGGCGATTGTTGGGGGGAGAAAGAAAGAAAAACAGAAATCTGGTCTCAAAAGAGGAGGAATTTTGACATGTTGTGCTTTCCTTGTGTTGTGGGAGATATCAAAGCGGATGGAGCAAGAGAGGATAAAAATGGTACTTTCACGACGTGTATGTATGTTGTGGGTTGGGCTGGCTGTGCGGTGGAGAAATTTGTCTTGAATTTGAACGGATCCGTTTGGTTGGGTGGGTAGAAAGTATGCACAGAATGTGAAATGAGACGTCATGTTCAGCGTCATACTTTCACAAGCAGAAGCACACACTCTTAAAGGGGAGAAAGAGAGAGGCGATCACCAACCGTGTAGACAGCGAGTAATGTAGTAAACCTCGT